GCGCGACTCAACCACGACCTACCTTTGACACTGCTTCAACCAAGATCGGCGCCTGCGGCGGGACCACCCACCCACACTGCTTTGACCATACATCGGCGTCGGCGGCGGGTTGTTGCACATCGGCTTTGCAGAATGACACTGTGCGCCACCGACCTGGTACCGCCTCACTCTTGTATGACACTCATACATGAACACATGCACCGACTGAAGAACCAACAATAATGGAAACACCGATTGGGTAGAACTGGGGAATCAGCCTGAACGGAAGAGAAACAAAAACAACACAAATACTAAGAGGAGACACGGACGGAAACGGAAACCGATGACGATAATGATGAGGACGGAAGACAGGGAGGCCCAATATGCTGAGAATGCGAACGTGTCTGGACAGCGGACGGAGAGAACGAGAGAGAGAGAGAGGGAGCGCAATCTATGGGTACATACAGACTAGAACCACGCGCGCGCTTCGCGCGCGCTTAGGTTCTGTCGAGTCACAGACCCAGGAATCGTTGTGAGAAGAAATTGGTGACGCGAAGCGTCGTGGGGGCGTCCTTGGACGTCTGGGGTCTCCTGGGGCCTCTTGAGGGGCCTCCTGGGGGCCTCCTGGCGGCCTCTTGGGGCGGAAGGCTCGAGCTTGCGGTTCGTGGTCCCCCTCTGGGCCCCCTCTTGGGCCCGTCTTGGGGCCCTCTTGGGCCATCTTGGGCGCCTCTTGGGCCGTCTTGGGGCCCTCTTGGGCTGTCCTGGGGCCCTCTTGGAAGCTTCTTGGGCCGTCTTGGGGCGGTCTTGGGCGCCTCTTGGGCCGTCCTGTAACGTCGGAAAACCCAAAAGACAACTTTGTTGAAAATGTACGTTTTACGAAGGGAATGGGCCAATTTTTGCGTCTAGGGGCCCTCTTGGGACGCATGTTGGAGGCTTCTTGGGGCCTCTTGGGGGCGTCCTTGGACGTCTGGGGTCTCCTGGGGCCTCTTGAGGGGCCTCCTGGGGGCCTCCTGGCGGCCTCTTGGGGCGGAAGGCTCGAGCTTGCGGTTCGTGGTCCCCCTCTGGGCCCCCTCTTGGGCCCGTCTTGGGGCCCTCTTGGGCCATCTTGGGCGCCTCTTGGGCCGTCTTGGGGCCCTCTTGGGCTGTCCTGGGGCCCTCTGGGAAGCTTCTTGGGCCGTCTTGGGGCGGTCTTGGGCGCCTCTTGGGCCGTCCTGTAACGTCGGAAAGCCCAAAAGGCGACTTTGTTGAAAATGTGCGTTTTACGAAGGGAATGGGCCAATTCTTGCGTCTAGGGGCCCTCTTGGGACGCATGTTGGAGGCTTCTTGGAGCCTCTTGGGGGCGTCCTTGGACGTCTGGGGTCTCCTGGGGCCTCTTGAGGGGCCTCCTGGGGGCCTCCTGGCGGCCTCTTGGGGCGGAAGGCTCGAGCTTGCGGTTCGTGGTCCCCCTCTGGGCCCCCTCTTGGGCCCGTCTTGGGGCCCTCTTGGGCCATCTTGGGCGCCTCTTGGGCCGTCTTGGGGCCCTCTTGGGCTGTCCTGGGGCCCTCTGGGAAGCTTCTTGGGCCGTCTTGGGGCGGTCTTGGGCGCCTCTTGGGCCGTCCTGTAACGTCGGAAAGCCCAAAAGACAACTTTGTTGAAAATGTACGTTTTACGAAGGGAATGGGCCAATTTTTGCGTCTAGGGGCCCTCTTGGGACGCATGTTGGAGGCTTCTTGGGGCCTCTTGGGGGCGTCCTTGGACGTCTGGAGGCCATCTTCAGCATCTCGGAGCCCTCTTGGAGGCCTCTTGGAAGTTTCTTGGGCCGTCTTGGGCGCTTCTTGGGCCGTCTTGTCTGACTGGGGAGGCCTCCGGCAAGCCCCGACGAGCCTCCGGGCCCCCCGGGGTGCACATTTGCGGTCGAGGTCCCGGCCCCGGGCCCCCGGACCCGGTGCGCCGATATATGTATAAATACATGTATGCATATGTCCGCCAACATGCCTCGATGCACGAAGTGAAGTGTTCCCCCAGGCTTCCCGAGTTCTCTGTACTCTGTACCAGCCTTGTACTATTGCAATCCAGATCAAAGAGCCAAACTGCCAAATCTGCTGGGAGTTCTCTGGCTTCCTAGCGTGCCTCTGCCAAAATCCAGGGTGCCTCTGTGACGGGCCAAGGGGGCCCAAAGAAAAGTCCCGAAGGAACCGAGGTGGTCCCGAGTCGCCCAAAGAGGGCTCCAAGACACCCAATATGGCCCCAAGGCGGCCCAACAGGCCCCCCCAAATCGCCCAAACGGGCCTCCAAGACCGCCACCAGACTTATTAAGATGGCCCCAATACTGCCCAAGAGGCCCCCGACCCGAGAGCGCCCCAAGAAGACCAAATAGTGCCCCACGACGGCTGAAAATGCCCCCACGACAGCCCAGTCGGGCCCCTAAGAGAGGCTGAACAGAGGCCCCAAGTGGGGGGGGGGGAACACGAATCGGCAGGTCGGGCCCTTCGCCACAAGATTGCCCCCAAGACCGCCAGCAGCCCCCCCAAGGACCCTCACCAAGTTCAAGGAGGCCCCACCAGAGGCCAACCTCAGACCCCGAGGGGCCCCCAACATACCCTCGAGAGAGTGCCAAGACACCCCAACACCGAGTCCAAGAGGCTTCCGAAAGGGCCTCCCAACATGTCCCCACACGCATCCCAAAAACCTCTGATGATCTACAACACAACCGCGGTGGCGGGATGGGCCGAATGCCACTGGATCCGCCGCCCCCTGTGGTCTTGCCACAGGGGTGCACGGCGTGCTGGACGATTCAGGTTTTGGTTTTGGTTCTTTTTCTAAAAGAACTCCCCAGTGGGCTTCGGCCCGTCCCGCCGGCCACCCGCAAGTTTCCGAAAATCCATCTGTCAATGCCTTTGTTGCCCCAACTTGGCCCAAGATGGCCTCCAAGACGGCCAAGATGGCCCAAGATGGCCTCCAAGATGCTTCCAAGACGGCCAAGATGGCCTCCAAGACGGGTAAGATGGCTCCAAGATGCCTCCAAGACGGCCCAAGATGCCCTCCAAGACGGCCAAGATGGCCCCAAGATGCCTCCAAGATGGCCCAAGAGGCCTCCAAGACGTTCTCCAGGAGAGCCCGAAGAGGCCAAAATCATTGGTTTTCCTTAGGTTTTTCAAGGTTTTTTGCGTTTTCTTCTTTTCGGCCTTCCGACGGCCCAAGAGGCCCCCAAGATCGCCCAAGAGGCCTCCAAGAAGGCCCTATGACGGCCCAAGGGCCCCCCAAGACGGCCCCAAGAGCGCCCCAAGACGGCCCAAGAGGCCTCCAAGACGCCCAACATGGCCTCCAAGACGGCCCTGAAGCGCCCCAAGAGGGCCCCAAGACGGCCCAGAGAGGCCCCCAAGACGGCTCCAGACGGCGTCAGACGGACCAGGAACGCCCTAAGACGGCCAAAGAGACCCCCAGGAAGCCCCCAAAGGCCCCCAAGAGGCCCAAGGAGGCCCCCAAGATGCCTCCAAGAGGCCTCGAAGAGGCCCCCAAGAAGCCCCCAACAGACCCCAAGGGTGCCCCAAGAGACTCCTAACAACCCTCATCCTCCTACTCTATTTCTTCCTCTTCCTCTTCCTGTTCATAATCATTCTCTCCCATGTGTTCCCCGCAAGCTTTCCAAACCGACTCGGGGAACTCATGGTCCGATAGCTTGGCCAAGCTCTAATCCAACTTTCGGCCACATCGGCGTCTCCAAAAAGGCAGGGGGCGGCGGTGATTCGCCGTAGGCGTCTTCGATCCTCCGCAAATGTGCACGGCGTGCTGGAAATTCGGGTGCTGGCACGATCCCTATTGCTTAAAGATGGCCTCCAAAACGGCTAAGATGGCCTCAAAGACTGCCAAGATGACCCCAAGAGAACCAAATCTGTCCGCAATACGTCTCCACGACGGCCCAAGATGCTCACCAGGCGGTCTGATATGGCCTAAAGACGGCCCAAGAGGCCCGAAGACGGCTTCAGACGCCTCCACGAGGTCATCCAGGAAAGGCCCCGAAGCGACCAACATGAGTTGTGTTCCCTAGGTGTTGAAGGATCCGGGCGTTTGCTCAGTGTCAGCAATCCGACGAGACAATGCGGTCCAAGAGGCCCCGACGATCGCCCCAAGGTCGTACAAGAGGCCTCCAATATAGCTACATGGCGGCCCAAGAGGCCCCCAAGAATGGCCGAAGACGGCCCAGGAGACCTCCAAGACGCTCAAGCTGGCCTCCAAGCTGGCCCAGAAGCGCCCGGAGAGGGCCCCGAGTCGGCCCAAATATGCCTCAAGTCGGTTTCCGACTGCGTCATACGGACCAGGAACGCCCTCTGAAGGCCAACGAGCCTCCCAACGAGCCTCCAAAGGCACCCAAGATGCCAAAGGCAGTCTCCTCCTCCTCTTCATTTTGCCTCCCTCTCCGCCTCTTCTTTCTTATCCTCCCACCTGTAACTCGAAGGGTTTCCACAATTGCTGAGGGGAACAAGTCGTCCGATAGCTTTGCCGAACTCTGGCCGTAGCGTGTTGCCGAATAGGCCGTTCTGACATGGAGAGGCTAGCAGTGATTCGCAGTAGGCGTCAACCCATATATATATATATATATATATATATATATAGACATATGTATATATATATATATATATATATACACGTATATATATATATACACATGCATACACAGAGGGAGGGAGAGTGTGCGAGAGAGAGAAAGGGAGAGAGACAAAGGGACAGCGATACATCTATACATGAAACTATGCAAGAAGCATATAGTTAGGGCTGTGCACGTGTGTATATATATATATCAACTAGGCCGAAAGAGAGAAAGAGAGCCGACGACCATACACACAACTGGACACACACGAACGAAACATGTGACCTAACACAAGCAGGATCAACGATACGGCTAGGAGAAGCGAGGACTGGCCTGGCCTTCTGCATATAACCCCTCTCTTCCTTCCAAATCCCTTTCGTACATCACTCCTGCGACCGATTACCGCAGAGTATGCCGTTAATCGATCTGCCTTCCCCTTGGGCTGGCGCGAAGCCTTCCAGAGCGATTTCCATGAGCTCATGATGCCGTGGGGGATGAGCTGGACTGGGTTGGTGATGCCCTGGGCAGCGAGACGGAAGCCCACTCGGCCCGAGCAACCGACAACCATAATAGCTGTTTCTTTCTCCTTCGGCACTACCCCCTTCGTGGAGAGTTACTGAGATTGCTGGAGTGCGTCGCGCGAACCGATCGGGTCTGCGGCACCCAGGGGGGCCTGTCGAAGGCCGAGGAGGGGACCATCCCGTCCTTGGGACCATCGCGGAAGAGACCGTCGCCACCTCTCCTGGGCTTCTCCTGCTCCCGCCCCCCCATCCTACCCACATCTCTCCTCCAGACGGTGCGGCAAACCCGCGAACTTGTGCCGAAAACCTTCCTGAACACATGAATAACAGATCTCTGAAGTTCCACCGCATGCAAGCCTGCGGAGCTGTGCCGAACAACCTCCTGACCAAACAGACAACTTTCAACTTGCAATGTTAAAGCTGGAACCTTGAACAAACCAGCGAACGGCAACAATTACGCGCACTGCAACCGATTCGCACAAACATTCAAGGATTGCTAAACACTAAACGTCGCTGAATACTAAGACTGCTCGCTCAAATACTGTTTCTGCCGCTTTCTTAACGCAATGCGAGAGAGAACAAACAAACAAAACCTGAAACGATAAATGCTTCCCGGGAACTTCATCAACAAGCACGATTGCTCGATGAAGTGTTGCTTTACCGCTGCTAATCTAAACGCAGCATGAGATCTCGCCCTGCATTACACAGTGTACTCACCACGAATCCATGTTGAAGAAGACGGATAACTTCGCGCGTAGCCTCCAAAATAGCGTCTCTGGATTGAAACGCCCGCGAACGCGGGGGGCGACACCCACGTATTGCGATAGACGAGGTACAACACGAATTCGATAAAGCCCTCAGGGCTACACCGAGGCACACAAGCGAGATAAGAACGCAAAACGCTGCTAAACTATTCCTCAAAATCTGGAAAATGAGCATGAAACTAATGATTGAGTGCCATCGTTGTGCTCGACTGTACTGCAACAGTGGTTTACATGCTACTTGAAACTTGCGGGATCCATCATACAACCAGGGGTGTCCAAAATTGAGAACAACAAACCGCACACATGTAACAGCAGTGCGCACACTTTAGAACATGAGCGCACACTTCAGGGTAACAATACACCATTTGACAATGTATGGTCCCCGAAAAAAACGCACACATGAGGACAATAGTGTACATGTTGAAACGCTACACAACCTTGTACAATAAGATTAATGCACACTTGAAACACAATGTAGAACAAACGTACGCAAACTTTAGAACACACATGTACAAGTTTGACAACCTGCTCACATGTTCAAACAATGGAGTAACACCGACGACATCAACACATACTTCAAAACATCAAGACAAAACTTGAACAACACGATGCATACACAGACAACTATTGACAATCGTTTGAAACGTAATGTCTGTTTTAGGACAAATGCCAATGTATGCTTAGAACACCACGAATTTTAGGGCACCGTGCACACTTTAAAACACGAATGCGTTTTTTTGTTACCCCATCTGCCTCGCGACAACATGTGTTTCTCACATCTCTTCCGGGCAAGCCCGAGACCCCAGGGCAGCGCGAAAGCAAGAGCTAACAATCCACACCCCGATGTCGGCTCGAGATCGGGGCGACGGCCGAAACGACCGCGCAGCGACAAAACGCTGGTCACCTCAAGTCACGGCTTCCCGGAGCCAGGGACTCCGAGGATGTCTCAAGCGAAACGGGCCTGAGCACATCGCGGTCTACGTCTTGGGACCAAGATCGGTGAGAACGTCACAAACAAAACCGACCAAAACACCTCTATGAGGGTGCGCCGCTGGATAACCCCAGGGGGGGGGGGACCACCGTAAAAGGGCGAGAACGCCCTATAGGTCCGTTCCCGTTCCCGTTCCCGTTCTCGTTCCCGTTCCCGTTCCGTTCCCGTTCTCGTTCCCGTTCCCGTTCCGTTCCCGTTCTCGTTCCCGTTCCCGTTCCGTTCCTGTTCCCGTTCCCGTTCCGTTCCCGCCCGGTCGCGTGCCCGTCTACCCCCCCTAAGCCTTCTAGCCGATCCAAGAAACGCGAACGGGAACTGGGACGGCAAGCCTCCCAGGGCCTCCAAGGCCCTCCCAGACGACCCAAGAGGCCTCCCAGAGGCCTCCCAGACGACCCAAGAGGCCTCCCAGAGGCCTCCCAGAGGCCTACTGCTATTACTACTACTACTACTACTACTACTACTACTACTACTACTACTACTACTACTACTACTACTACGACTACTACTACTACTACTACTACTACTACTACGCACTACTACGACGACTACTACATACTACTACTACTACTACTACTACTACTACTACTA